CCTCATTTCTAATGTATGCATTTAGTGCCATAACTTTCCTTCTTATTAATACTTCATCTGTGTTTCACAAGTTTTGGTGCTTTATTGTCATTCGATTTGATGTATTTCAAAGTTTCCCTGAGACTTCTTCTGTAGACTTCTTCTGTAGAAGTATGTTGTTTAGTTTCCAAGTGATTGGAGATTTTCCTTTTGATAAAATAGCATCTAATCTTTTATGTTAGAAATTATGGTGTTTGAATTATGGAAGATTAAACAAGAAGTCATATTAAAGAAGTTTTAGAGTTCTTTTTTTTTTTAATTCAGATAAGCACTTCAAGTTCTTTGACATTAAAAAGATGACTGCTGTAAGAGAAATACTGGAACTATCATTTTTTAATACCATTAAATGGGGGTGCTTTTTTGGGTAGAATCTTATTTCACATGGGCAAGAAATGTGGTTTTAGACCATTATAAATATTTTGTCATGCAGATTAGAAGGAAATTTGAGTATAGGATCATCATTGAACCAGTGGTTAGGATTCTAAAAACTTTTCATTGAGATAGTGGGACAATAAAAGCCTGCTTTAAAGAAGAATGCCGTAAGAAGGAATTGCTTTTCATGTGATACTGTTTTCAAAGCTAAATAGCCAATAATAGAATTGCCATTCTTAGCATGTTAGTATATAAAAAAATCTTTCATATCTTTTTTACAGATTGAAGTTGTCAAAGAGGAATTTAATGAACATTCAGAAGTTATAGACAAGATAAACCAGATCTGCAAAAATCTACAATTTCATCTAAATAAAATGAAAACTTTTGAAGAATCCCCTTTTGAGAAAGAGGCTAATATTATTGTGGATAGATGGCTTGACGTATGTGATAATTTAATTTAATTGACCATAAATTCTATTTTCTAACAAATCGATCTTTTTTGTGTGTATCTTTAGTATTTTTATCTTATTGCTAAGTTAAAAAATACTCGTTGTAAAAATGTTCAAATAATATAAAGCTTATAGCTTAGGAATTAATTTTACCCAGAGTAATAACTGGAATAACTGGAAGTAGTGCTTCCAGTTATTAAAATATATACTCAACTTACTTAAAATATATTAGTTACTATATTACTCATTTATGCAGGATGTTGATGTTCAACTGCATATTTAAGACATTTTTGTTTGAGTAGTAATGATATTTTTTGTCAGTTACAAACTAAGAATTTGTGGCATTATATTTTTATCTGGGGTTTTAAAAGCATCTTTTTAAAGAAAAATTGTGGTATAGAAATTAGGGAGACTGTTG